TTTATATAAAACTACATTTTGAGGAGAGAAAGTAACCAAAACAATATACCATATATATTTGAACCAATTTAAATTTCGAACTAAAAGTTGCGGATAAAAGACGATAGTAACAAATACAGGTCAGTGACGTCATTTCTCTCTAACGAAAGTTCATTTCTAAATGCTAATTACAATGACAAACCGATCATGTCATATTTGAAGTATGACTTTAATTACATTATTGTTTTTAAATATTATAAATATTTTTAAATTTTAATAATTTTAATTTTTATATAAATGTGTATATTGGTTGACACAAATAAATATGTGCATCACGAGTGTTACCATATTATTAATAAACATTATTCAAAATTGTTATATGATGTATTTATTTTTACTTAAATGCCATCTTGTACAGTAGCAAATAAGTTTTACTTCAATTGCGTGTGAACCTTACGCGCACTCTTTTTTATGCTTTTTCTTAAAATATGGCCTGCAAAAGTTTCTTAACGACATCGAGTCATCTTTTCCCACGCGTGTTGCCAAACTTTTCTCTTTGGCAGTAAGAAACTTTATTATATTTGTCTCTTTGAATTTTGTATGTTGTCATAAAGAAGATCGGGAGGAAAAACCATCTGCTATATATACTCCGCCAATTACCTATCGGGAATTGGTGTCTTCTCGTTTGAATTTATGACCACGACGAGCGAAGATACTAAGAGTCGATGGGGAATAAAATTGAGGACTGACTGTCTATTATCTGCTAGTCTAAATAAATAAAAAAGCGTATATAAAAGTTGTAAATGAACATATACGATATAAATATACAAAAAGTTATTTGACGAATAAATTAACGAATAATTACGAATTTAGATATAACTTTGAATTCTATTGCTGTCGCGACTTTCATCTGCTCTGTAGTCCTTACTGCCATTTTTTGTCCAAAATAAGTTAGTAACTTAAAATTTAAATTTGTTAAAATTCTTATATTTTATTATTCATACTGTTGTATGATTAAAAATATACAGATTAGAATTTTGACTTAATTTTACACAGAAGACATAAAACGTGAGACTTTTTATAGTGTTCTATCAATGTTAGGTCTTTGTTTTTATGTTATACCATTCATTTGGTGATTTATAATACAAACATGAAATTATCTTCGAAACTAAGATTCTTTTATTAGCTCGTGCTTTTGTTTCTATGATGGATCTCATGAAGTTTAAGAAATTATATAAAGGACAAAATTTATACTGATACAATAAATAAACATATGATTAATATCTTCTATAATATTTGTTCACACAGTGGATTATGTTAAACAAATATTGTTTACGCAATTTCACTCATCATGTAATAATTATGTTTGAAGAACTTCATGTAATTAAAATTAATATACATTCATTGACTGATGGTATTTTTTTACTTTTTCGCTGGCTATATATTCTCATTCTTTGAACAGCAGTAATATCTATTTTCCCTAAAAAAAATTATAGAAACTACGAATAATATAAAAATTATTTCAATAAACTTTATTCATACGTGGCGGAAATGCTGCATTTGTTTTATTATTTTCAACACAATTATTTACGGGGGACCGGGTAAAATATTCTTCTGATTCAGACATTTTTCATTAAATCAACATTTGTACTATATAACTTTAAAATGTTTATTTATCTATGCTGATTTCCTTGTTGATATCGGTACGCATACAACGACAGATCTCTATTCACATACGCGACGACTAATCACGATCGACCCGTATAGAAATATCATCAAGACCGAATGACGAATCATTGGCACTCGACTCTTATCTTATCGACTCTTATCTGCCGTAACGCGCTTCCGTTGAATTTGTACGGATTTACACCATAGTCGCGCCTAAAGAAGTTTTACTACAATACTGTACATTCATAATATCGTCTGATGATTGGTTAGTTTTAAATTCACTACAAATTTTAATTCTTTCTGAACTCATATGCAATCAATATCATTTTGTTGCGATGTTTTGACAAATATAAAAGGGTTAAAATCTGGTTAACATAGCCCTAATATTAGTGTTACACAAGTACAATTCGAGCATAATTTATGAATGAAGGTTTCCTGTGTGAATTTCCATCATGTTAAATGGGAAGAAAGCTTCCGGTTACATGCCCCACGGCGTACAGGAAACTGTATCGGGTAGCATTGCGCACAACCGGATAACAGAATTATAATGCGCATTTTGCCGCCACGGGGCCGCCACGGTGCCGCAAAACCAAAACGAGGCGGAAAAACTCACGCCGACAGGGATTTCACTAATCTATGCAATATACATATGTATATCTATCACGCATTTGGATTTCACAGCGGCGATTCTCTCCAAAATTTAATTTGCCATAATAGTTTCTTGAGTCTAGAGATGGGCTTATTATATCCGAAGCCGGATCGACTCGGATTTGACACCGCTTCATGGTGTAGTTATATCCGCTTAACAACTCCATGACTCCGACAATTTTGAAACCGAAATACTCGAAACAAATGTGTTCTATGGTGCTCTGTTTATGTATCTAAGGATATGTCAAATCCCATTAATTATTTGAAATTTGAAAACTCAGTGACGCGTAATTTTAGCAGTGTTGACCAAAGTAAAAACGCAAAACTTGAGAATCAAATTCAATTTAATGATTTCCTTTTGATGAGAAAATAATTGATTTTTTGGATTAATTTTATATAAAAATTATCTTCGTAATCTTTGTAATAAAAGCAAAACATAATACTTCTGCTTTCAAAATTATATAATTGTGTGAAAGTAATAATATAATAGTTAATATTTTTTGCTGCTTAAATACTAATGATATCACTGATAAATTTTGTACTCCAAAGTATTGTTATTTCAGGCTATGGAAAAACAAGATTAAATAAATGTATTTCATTTCGTATATTTTTCGGTATGTATATTCCTGATTGCCATCATTTACGGCCAAAGATTATCGTAGTTAGAGATATGACCCCTTACTATTCAATAAATTATACATTTGAGCTATTCACACTCGAATACTATTTCATTGTTCTGTATCTTAAAAGTAACATTTTTGTATATTCTGGAAAATACACAATGGTATCATCTTGATTTTTATACCTGAAAGGTCATAAAACTGCCTGTGAGACGAGAAAGTAACCGCTTCCTTCCCAAAGCAAAAAAGACAAAAACACTAAATGTCTGTACGAGTTAACATATTTAATACCAGTTTAAGGAAGTCGGATACGACAAATCCTGTGAAACAACTCCACTCGGATTCACTCCGAGGGAGGAGTTGTATCGGAGTGAAAAGTCCGGAGTGAGTTACCCATCTCTATTCTTGACTATATTCAGTGACGTAACTAAACCCTCCGGGACCCGTGGAAAATTCTTTATTATATTTAGTTTCCTTTAATAAACTCGATATTTTTTCAACGTATTCAATAACGATTTTAATTAATTATATTGCAAATATAACCAAAAATTATATTACAAAATATAGCCAAAACGATTTTAATGAATTATATTACCAAAGAAACCAATATATGTGCTCTATAATGAATCAAAATCATTTTGTATAGAAAGTGTCCAAATGATTAACCTGAAATTGTATCATTGTCTTTAGTTGGCTCACAGAGTTTAAACTATATAATAAACCATAAAATATAGTTTCCAAGTGAAATAAGATAAATGCAGGTAAAATATAAAAAAATATTTATGAGCCCGCGGCATTTTGCCGCCCATGCCACCCTATAGTTACGCCACTGTGTATAATAGTAGTCGATTTTACTAAAATTCCAAAAAACAATATTTTTTTAATTTTTACATAATTTTAATTACAATTGGTGACTGCTAGAGTTCATTTCCTACTTTAAAATATCTTTAAAGATCCAAAAAGGATTTACCACAATCACATCAAGTACGGAACCTCAAGAAAGATGAATGTTCTTCCGTTTATTTTTGTCCCTAAAGTGATATATAATTCACTTGGTGTTGTTAGCCATAGTTCTCACAGAGACTATGGAATACAAAAAAGAAATAAAAATGTATGGACCACATTCTTCAGCAGAATGCCCTAAGAAACGTCCGTAGCATATTGCATTCCTCGATAGGGACGAATTTTAATAAGATTTAGGAAACACGAACTATTTTTTATATAATCTTGCAGTGTATAGGTTTTATTAACTTCTCTCAATGTAAGTTTAAATCCAAAAATAAATTGTCTTAAATTATTTTAAATTTATGACTATCTAATTTTGAATATTGAGCGACTCCTTCAAATTCTGTTCAGAAATTTGAACATGTTCAATTTCTTTAATATTTTTATAATTTAGCTTATGGGATAAAGATAATGATTTCTTTATTAGCAAAGACATAAGTAAAGTTTGTTGGATGAATGTTCCACGCTAAGTACAAATGGTAATAATCTTCTATATATATAAATAAGTCAGGTTTTCCTTCCTGACGATATAACTCCAGAGCGCACGAGCCGATTTCGACAATTTTGCATTCGTTCGAAAGGTCTCGGACACCGTGAGGTTTATAGCAAAGAAAATTGAAGAAAGATTTTAACAAAAAAGCGAAAAACACTTTCTTTTTTCACATACAGCATCATCTATGATACTTAGCATGTACTACGTACTAATATTTTTTGTTTGACTGCTACTCATTTGTTTGACAACTCATTGTTCTCTGCTCTGTTAATTTTATGTGACAAATCGGCATTGTGTTCACTGTGAAATTGTGCACAAAAGTAAAAAAATAAGTTATTCGTTTCCTAACATTTCAATTAGAAACCATCAAATCAATTACATGTATTGTGCAAATTTTTATTCAATTTCAACAGCAGGAAATTTTTTCTTCATCTTTTAATGGCCAAACGAAATATTACATAAAATGAAACCATCTGGTGGTAAAACAGAGTTCGCCCGGTTATAAATATATGTGTGGCTAGGTGATCAAAGTACCATATACCATTCCCCAAGTTTTAATATATATTTTTTGAAAGTTTTAGACTTACTTATTATAAAGAACTATATCTGGCCTCCATATATGATCAGAAGGAACGTGGAGCATGTGAACGCCTCCGTACTCCTTCGGTTCCCAACGAAGTTTGTAATCGTACCAGCTCTAAGATAAAATAATTTAATGATAAAAAATGTTAAGCATTAAAAATTCCAATAAACTAATGATATTATCTTAATCCGAAATAGAACTTAGAATAACTATTTATTTTATATCTAATAAAAGTAATTACCATTGATTGCTTATCGTTACTTTTGCAGCTAAACACAAATAATGGCTTAATTTATAGTATATTAGAATAGATTTCTAAGCCGTAAAATTAGTGAAATGGTTTCAGCTAATGGTGACATTCATTCTTATTAGAGATAAACGTGCATAGAAGTATCTATAAATAAGAATAAACTAGACGTCAGTAAATGAAGATAATAAAAATAAACCGTATTCCTGAATGAAAATCAACTCAGTAGTTATAAGGTATAATTTCAATAATGCCAACTCAACAAAAATCACTATTAACAAAAAAATAAAAAGAATTTTCGTACAATTTCTTTTACGACAAAAGTCAATAAACTTTTCTAAAAGCCCATAATCTTATTTGAATGTGAAAGTGTTTTTCCATCGCGAAAAGAGGTGCCTGATATAAGAACATAATATAATTTAATTTATCACAATCACTATGTCAGCACAAAAGAGGGCTTGGGAAACGAAATACAAGGAAAGCTTTTAGTAACTTTCAGGAACTTTTGTAGAAATTGTCATTTTTTGCACGAAAGCTCGATAAAAATTTATTAGCCAAAAAAAAAATAATAATATGTGGTGACGAATCAGTTTGAATAAAAATATTAGAGTGACCCTCACCTGCTCGACCCATAAGTTTGTTGTCATTATTTGGTTCTTCAGATTCTGAAATTAGAAAATAAATTAGTGAATGTATATATGCATTATCTAGTATAAATAAGGAATCTAGATAATATATTTCTATTTATAACCAAATCTGAATATAAATGAATGGAATTCTATGCATATGCATTCATACCAGGGAGAAGTTTGGAAAAGGTTCCGGGTAAATGCATTCATTAATCACGTTGCGAATGCACTTTGCGAAATTCGAACGTACGTTTGGTCGAGAATTTCACCGAGAAGGATAATTTACATTGAAGTTCATGTCGTGCATGAACTATTTGGTGAAATTCGAGAAAACTAATGGTTCTGATTTTTACTCTTACACACTTGCACATTCTTACATACTCTTGCACATTCAGAATTCGTATATAAAATCGTACTATATAAATTAAGAAACATAATATTTGACACAAATGTGTTCATTATTGTGTTGTTAACATATCCAAGGATTTATTAAGACTTTAGAAATAGTTTACAAATAGTTCAAACATTTTTGTTTATTTTATTATAATAATTACTATTTTATGCATTTCAATATGCATACAAATCTCAAATTGACAAAAAAACTTGGGAATCAAAATCAATTTTGTAATTATTTTTGAAGAGAAAATATAGAATTTTTTGATTATGTTTATTTTTATGTGAAAATAATGCAGTGAACCTTATATATAAAATAAGAACAAACCTTTGTGTATAATATTTTTCACAAAATGATAATACCTCACATTCTTTTATTATTTCCTTTTTGAGAACAAATTATACAACAGGTAGTTTGATTAGAGCTTATTTAAGGACAAACATGATCGTATACAAAATATAAAATATAAAATAGCACTATTTTGAGACATTATATACCTGGAAAGTCATAAAACTGGCTGTTAGACTAGAAAAAAAAACCGCTTCTTTCGACCCAAATCTTTGTATTAGTAAAAAATCTCAAGCAAATATCTGCACATGTTAACAGATTTAGTACCAGTTTAAGGAAGTCGTATATGACAAATCCTGTGAGACACCTCCACTCGGATTCACTCCGAGGGAGAAGTTGTATCGGAGTGATAACTCCGGAGTGAATTACCCATCTCAAATATACACATTAAATGTTTTAAGAATTCAACGAAAGAGTCGTTTACCACATGTCAACCCCGTCCCGATGTACCAGGGTTAATTACGAAACATATTTGGCAACGTTTTGGGGTCGTCGTTGCTAAAAGGACAGATAGCGACCTTTTGAGCTGTCGGCCTGTAAAGTTATTTAGGTTAGGTAAGGGCCATCAGACGAATATTAGGCCTTTTCCGGAAAATGTAGATATCAAATAAAAAGTAATTATATTTCTGTGACCTTTTACAAAATGTTATGTTTTAATTAATAAATACTTTTAGTTTCACTTACAAAAGCATCAACCGCCTTTTTTAAGAAGACGACATATGAATAATAAAGCGTTTTGGTTTAATATTCAGTGAAAATATATGTTAAGTATATGTATTTATTAAATAAATTTAAAATGACAAAATGAAAGTATAACTGATTAAAATTAGCAATTAATACAGCCTACATGTATTTATTTTTATATAAAATTACCCAAGGTGCTATCTTCAGATTTATTTAATTACATATATAATTTTGGAATAATTCATCTTAAATTGTTGAAGATTATTTCCAAAGCTATCATTTTCTCATTTCATTTAATCATTCATTCAATATTTAATTATTTTATAAGTTGAAAATATCAGACCACAACTTCTCTATAACGTTGACGAGGTGATTGAAATCATTTTTGTTGGAAACTAGATGACTCGACAGACGTTGTCCTGTATTTATGTTTACAATTCAAAAGTTCCAATTTGTTTTAATAACCTATACTGATATTCACCAATTAGTTAAAAATTATTATGTTTTTTCACACTACAGTCTATACCGAAATGTATATACATCCACCCATATGGATCTTAAGTGTACCACTGCTTTAAATAATATGATGAGTATTTGCTTTTTTGAAAAACATTATAAAACATTTTTTTCTTATAATTAGTTCTTTTATCGATATCCGACGTTATTTTGAATAAAAAAAATGAAATTACACCACTGAGAGGCATGTCATCCCCCGGGAAATGACAAAGGAGTCTAAATTATTTTCACTTTTGAACTTGAGAGTAAGATAAACCTAATTTCAAAATTTCATACGAATTGGAGCACAGTAAAAAAAATTCAGACCCAAAACGCTCCATTGACTTGGGTAAATATTCCGTAACCGATGGCAAAAATATGAAAATACTAACGTTTGTATGTAAAAAAGAAAAGGATTGTTTTTAGGGTTTTCCCGGCAATTATTCGATTTTTTCTTACCGTAAGAACCATTCTTGGACTTCAACGAATAATAAAAAAAAAAGAATTGTCAAATTAGTACAGGCGTTGTTGAGTTATGCGCTTACCAACACATTTTGCGATTCATTTTTATATTATAGATAATCTTAAACGATATGAAATACATTATATTCAAATTTGCACATATCGCAAAGTTTTTGCTACTTGCTCTCTAAAGCAAAATGTCACGAAAATAAATGTTTGATATTGTAACCTATTTTAAATTCCCAGCGATTCAATTTCGATAGTAATCGAAAATTACAAGAAGTAAAAACTGATCATTCCATTTCTTCAGATAATAAAATTTGTCATTTGCTCATAATGAGAGATGAAATGAAGCGGAAGGGTTATGACTCGGAACTGGGAATCAGCTGGAACCTCTTTCCTCATTCCTTTAGGGAATGAATGAGCAGAAGACGAGAAAATTATTCTTTATTGGAACGAAAGATCAAAATTGAACATACGTTCAGAAAATGAAAACACGATAAAATGACAAAGGGGGTGCGAGTATCAAAATTGTTATATGATTTTTCTGTATTGTATTCGTATGGCATATTTGAAGATGCAATATTTCAACATCAATTTATTGTATTTTGATTTTGATAAGATATTTTATATCTTTATAAATATATATATATATATATATATATATATATACATGTAATTCATGTATAGAATTGTAAAGGTATCACTCTACATGCAAACGGGCAATGACAGAAACATCCATTCCAAAATTGATATTATGTTTCAATGAAAACTAACAGGGAAAGTCCCCGAGTGCCGGACACCTAAGGTTATTTATAAATAAATAAAAAAATATTTTACGAAATGTTCATTAAATTATAAATCATGTTAGATGATAATAAAGTTAGAAATCAAACTAAATCAACAAAAACGCAACCTTTGCTAAAAAATAATTAATACTATCAATCAAACATTGGTAACACAAAATTTGATTTTAGAAAGTGGCACCTAGTACCGGACATTTCAAAATAATCTGCATTGAACACATATGTAGCAATCTCCACACTCTAGAATGTCTGCACATGTGTATTTGACGAATATTCTTTGATATTGCAAAAAAATCACTATTTATCCACCCTTTTAGCTGGGCCATGCCGATGCCCTCAGCTGGAGCATTCATCATAAGATTTTCATTCTTTGATTAGGAAATACGAAAAATGGGGTATGTAGTGACTGTTAGTACTCATGCAGAACAAAATTAAATAATTAGAATAAATTACGTCAATTCTCACAAAAATGTTTAAGGGACGGCGCTAAAAGACAGACATTTTTGTTCATTTGGTGGTATCAACTAAAATTGGTTAAAAAATCTAATAATATTCTACCATTTTACGGATAACGATCAAGTACTACTTTTATCTTGACATACCACTCAAATGTAAATGCATAAATATACTAGAATTACTTAATTGATATTTAGGTGACGAAGTGATTTTGCGCCTAAAACAGCAAAGGGTTACTCCCGCCGTGGCCGTGTGCGTCACCACAGGTGAGTCTTGGCGCGTGATCCTGCACCTCTGTGCCCCCCGCGCCCCTTTCACTTGTATTTTGAAATAAAAAGATTTATACTCGCTTAAATAATACGTGTTAAATAGAGTGTCCGGCACTAGGTGCCGTCCGACGTTACGGGACTTCTCTATATCTTTGAAAACACGTTGTTCCATAAATTAAAATACATCAATCGATAGAACCGTGGGTACCAAACCCATTTGTTCTGTAAATCTCACGATGCACAAATTTTCCAAATCCTACTGAATTGTAATCAACGAAAAAAGAAAAGATTCAATAGGAATTCGATAGAGAAATTTCATTATAATGACCAGAATAGTTGGAAGTATTTTTAGTATTTCATTGCCTAGTTACTACTAAATTCGGTGTTCGGCTAATAATTTGCATTTACAAGTATTGCATATCCGTAGTGAAGACTTCAATATGTTTCCCGTGTACAAGTGATGTTGGATATTGGATTTTCCAAGGGTTTCCGCTTTCCCGACTTCACAAGTTCGAAACGGATTTCGGTTTATACGAATTATTTATTCAGTCTTGTCAAACGATTTCGTCATACATGAAAACAAATTTTATGTGTCTATCTCGTAACAGTGAAATGAATTTGGTATATGGTAGCGATACGAATATTACTCAAAATAATTTTTAAACCTGTATAATTATTACGCAAAACATATCCTATTTCTATTATAATAATTTGATTTATAACATTTTCATATTTTGGAAAATTTTGGAATTTTTGAAATAACATAAATCAGTTATTTTCCCAAAATTATAGAAACTATGTATGTATATCTGAGCCAAAATTTGACCATTCATCATTCGTTCCTAAAATCGGCTGCACCGACTTCAAAAATTTAAAAGTTGTTTGATGAAGCTCGATAAATTTTTCATATAATTAGCAAAAAGATGCCAAATTATTCGTACATTTCTGCAATTTTTTAAAAAATAAGGTTACATCCAATATTTTTATTCATTTAATTTTACCAGAATCCTCTGACTCAAAAATCAATTACTCGAATTGAAAAATCAATCGCCTCTAAACGGATTATGATATATTTTCCTCGGCTTTGTTATTACGATACATTTCTTTCGACTGTAATAACAT